AGGTTGCTACCGGGGGGGGGCCCCGGCAGGGAGCCTGCACTGGCTGCCAACAGCAGGCTCAGCCCACAGCCCGCAGGCCGAGCAAGTGGGCAGCCAGCGTGCCCCTGGCGCAGTGGGAGCGCTGGCCATGGGGTTGGGCGGTGCTGTGTCCGACAGGCAGGGCGCTGGGCTGGCCCCCTCACAGGAGCCGAGGAGGAGCTGAGGTCTGGATAGGTGGGCAACCCCACTGACCACGTGTCACCCACTGAGATCCCAGACGTGTTTATTGACAGCAGCTCCGACCAGGTCTCCAGGGTCTCCATGGCAGGCGCAGCAATGACAGAGCTAGGGTGTGTTACCGAACCTCACACCAAGTTCCCGAGTCAGACGACAGCAGTCCCAGACCCCTACCAGAGCCAAGCAGCGCCCCTCGGAGCAGCCTGGCACAGGGCCGAACCTGCCTGAAGCCAGGGCACACTGCTGGCCCTACTGGCCCAGGGTCCTAGTTGATGTTGAGACCTCCTACGCCATCCCGAAGGGACTGCGCGTGGAGAACACCCCACTGAGCAGCGCAGGACTATGCAGGCACACGTGGCCGGGTGGCGGGCACACAGCCAGGTCAGTGAGGGGTTGCTCTGATGACACGGGGCAGGGAGGAGGCAGGCTGGGGTGCACAGCAGACCAGATGACCGATGGCTCCCTGGGATGGGCAGACAGCTCGTACATGTGACACTCTGGATGGCCTGGGGTGGTGGCCGATGGCCCTGGACCTTGTGGCTGGCAGCTGAGCGAGTCCGGCCCGAGCCCTGGCTGCCCGCCGTACCAGGTGGTGAGGGTTCTGGGGCCCCGCCCCCAGCCACACTCCCCACCAGCTGCTCCAACCTCTGGCACCTGCAGCAGGTTGGCTCTGGGACACCGCGACGCTAGGTGAGCAGGCCCCGGCCCAGCCTCAGTGCGGCCTCGTAGGCAACGAAGACCACCATGTTGACGGGGAAGGCACGGCAGCAGTTCAGCGCCAGCCCCTTGAACAGGACCCGTGGGCCCTCCTCGCGCACGCTGGTCACCACGCAGTGCAGGAGGCCCCGGTAGCGCCGCTGGCCCTGGCCATCCGCCTGCAGGCGCGACTTGATCACGTCCATGGGGGTGGCCACAGCCCAGGCCAGGACCCCTGCACAGCCTCCAGCCAGCAGCACACCCAGGACATCTGTGGGACAGCATGGTGCCTTGACTTGGGGCCCTGCCACCATGGCCCGGGGCTGTCTCCCCCAGACCCCCTCCTGCAGGTGGGCACACTGAGTTTAGGGAGACGGGGTGACTGACGGGCAGGTCAGTCCTGACGCGGGAACAGAAGCGTGGGCAGGGCCCTCCCTCTGGCCCACCCCACTCACCTGGCTGGCTGTGGCTGGCGGGGGTGAGCCACTCGCAGAGGATGGCGTAGGAGAGGAAGTAGGTGGCGAAGGAGTGGCCGTCCCGCAGGAGCAGCGCCGAGCTGCCCTTGTAGAGGCCCCGCAGCCCCTCTTCACGGGCCACTGTGGCCAGGCAGTGCAGTGGCCCGCGGTACTTGGGCCCGGGCACTGGGCACACGGGGGGTGCAGGACACCCCGGGGGTGCAGCCGAGGGCCCCGAGGCGGAGGGCCGCCGTGCCTGTGTCTGCAGGCGAACCTTCGCCACCTCAGTGGGTGATGTCAGGAACACCTGGGGCAGAGGAGGAGGCGGGATGGGGGCCGGCCGACTGGCCCGAGGCTGGGAAGGGCAGGCTCGCGGGTTCGAAGCCGCCCTGCCCACCAAAGGCCAAAAGTCTGGTGCTTTCTTCAGCAAATGTGTGTGTGTGTGCCGGCGCCCGCACGTGGTAGGTAACGTCTGTGACTTGGGTGTGAGCCGTACCTAAACACGTCACCATGTGCTCACACCTCAGCTGGGGCGCCACATGCGTGACCTCACTTTATTCTCACCGTGCCTCTTACAGATGAGGGGACAGAAGCTCAGAGAGGCTCCCTCAGTTAAAGGGAGTCAGAACCGAGAGCCAAGCCTGCCATCTAGACCCGTGGGCCTGCCTAGGGTCAGGCACATTGCTGGTATCCCTGGTGGCCAATGACTGCCCACTGGCCCTGTCCTTGCCGTGCCCTGCCTGTGTCTGCCTTGGCCGCCCCAGCCTGCCTGCCCCTCTGCTGCAGCCAGGCCTGGCAGACCTCATGTCCACCTGAGGCTGCAGGAGCGCCAGGGCCCCTGACAGCGATGGTGCTCCGGCAGGTCAGTGCCAGCACTGTCAGGTGTCCCAGGGCCTGCCTCATCAGCACTCATGGCTCCCAGGGACCATCTCTCTGCAGTCCCCAGGCCCGGCCTGGCAGGGTCCCTTCGGCTGTCACCTTCTGCCCCAGAGCACCCTGGCTCCAGGGCGGCCATGGGTCCTCCGGGCTGGGGTGGCTGACCCCTCGGAACTGTGCCTCTCTGAGGCCTCCCAGTCTGCCGCCCGCCGCAGGCCCTCTCTCACCCGCAACACTTACGCGGACCAGGCCGGAGGCACATCCCGAGAGCGTGACATCGGTCTTGGCAGGCTTGGCGTCGGCACTGCCGTAGCGGAACCGGCATATGTGCGCCAGGCAGTGGCGGTAGGTGCCAAAGGACACGGAGGAGACCAGGGACACGGTGCACACGGGCAGAGAGAGGCCCCTGTAGAAGCCCCGCACCTGTAGGATGGCCTGGTCAGCTGTGCAGGGCTGCCCGTGGCCTCGGGGCCTGCACCCGCACGTCACGTGGGGTCAGGATACTCAGTGCCGGGTGTGGTAGGGCCTGGGCCGGGGCCAGGCCTGACCCTGCCGCCGTGGGGTGAGAGCGAGCAGCTGGTTTTATTACTGCTGCTTGTCATGCCCACAGCCCACCCAATTTCAGCGCTTCAGCTGGACCCTGAGGACACCTGGCCACTCCACCCAGCGCAGTTGTCAAGGGGTGCCTAGCTTGGAGGGGACAACATGCAACGCAGGCCCATCCTTTGACTGTCAAGGTCCCAAAGGCCCCTCGCCTCCTCCGGCAGGCTTGACCCGCGCTGGGAGCCCTTCTTGTGGGCAGGATGGATACCTCACTCGGCCTCAGAGGGACCCCTTAGAGGGGCAGCTTCCCATCCAGAACGTGAGCAAACTGAGGCCCAGGGAGGGGCTGCACACATGCCTTACGCCCTGCCCAGCCCCTGCCCAGCCCCAGCCCTACCCGCTCTCTGCGATAGGTGTCCCGAACGCAGTGCCAGATGCCGGAGTACTTCGGCTCTGTCTGGATCCTGACCTGGAGAGAGAGGGGTTTCAGGAAGGGGTGGCTCCAGGCCTACGATAACATCAACGGGCCCCAGGGAAGGTGAAGTCACCCCTCAGTTGGCACAGCCATGCTGGTCTGTGGACAGTAGGGATGTGAACCCCAATTAGATGAGAGCCCCCCACTCCAAGGCACAGCAGTGAGAAAGGGGAAGACATAGTCCCGAGGACATTGGGGCAGGAGCCAACTGGGTCTCAGCATCTGGAATGGTCAGGGCGTGGATGCCACACAGACGCTGAGGCAGAGGCCGGGGCGGGGTGGCCCGCAGGCACTGTACCTTCACCGTGTCGAGGGGGTAGCCCACAGCAACACCGCAGACACCTGGGAGAAGTCAGAGGTGGCCGGTGAGGTCGGGGCACAGGCGGGAGGAGGAGAGTGACCTGACCAGCACTCACCGAGGGCAGACCCCAGTCCAGGTCTACGCATCCACCAGGCCCCAAACTCTGAGGCTGACCCTGTCCAGTGAGGAAGCCAAGCTCTGCCTGGGTCTCACACGGCCAGCTAGGCTGCACCCTCAGTGCCTCGTGCCGAAGGCATGCCTCGGCCTCCCTGCTGGATCATGCTCAGGAGAGCTGGCCCGCCCCACTCTGCACCAGACCTCGCCCTCGCTGCAGCCCCCGCCTCCAGGCAGGAATAACTGCACACTTCCCCTGGGCGCTGCAAGGTGTCAGTGAGCCCCTTCCTTGTAGCCTCGGGCTGGCGCTTAGCAGGTCCTCAGACCTCGGGCCTCTCCCAGGCTCGGAGCCGTTCCCTCCTGACCCCCACACTGTTCCCGCTGCTATTGCACAAGACAGGCCACTGCCACCTGCAGGTCGATGGCCTGTGGCGGCCGCCCACCCGAGCCCAGTCCAAGGCCAGTTTTCACTCTGGACGGGTCTTTCGCAAGGAGTCCATTCCCCAGGAGCAAAACAGGTGGAAGCAGCAGAGTTCAGCCCAAGATGCGGCTCAGAGGCCAGCGAGGGGCGCCCCGTAGGCAGGCAGGCCTCAGCTTGGCCCGCCCCCTGTCTTACTCACCCTCTAGACCCCAGGCAGGACCCACGCCCTGTCTCCACTCTCCTTAACTCTCGAGGCTCTTGCCCTTTCCCATGGTTCCGCCACCTGTTCCCTCGCCAAGGAGTCCTGACTCTCCCCTGGTCCTGACAGCTGTGGCCTCGGCCTCCGAGAGGCCCCACACTGGAGCACAGGCCCATGTCAGTCCACCCTCCCCTCCCATCTGAGCCCCAGCCAGTGCAGCCTCTCCCCGGGCCCTTCCCTGGCCCTGCGTGCCCTGGAAGCCTGCTCACCCCTCCTGGCACCATGGCCTACACCAGCTCCTGGCTGCTCCTGGGGTGGGGGCTCCTTGAACCCACAGGTGCCAAAGGCCATCCAGGGCAGAGCACCTCCTGCCCCAGTCAGTTCCGGCCCATGGAGCACCCTGCACAGCCTTCCCTGCTCCTTACCTCCGATGGCTCCAGCAACAAAATCCATGGGGAGCGTGGGGCAGGAGGGGTGGGAGGGCCTTGTGCCTGCAGCAGCCTGGTGCCACCTGGGGTGGCCACACTGCTCCAGCTCTGCTCCTCCCAGACCTTAAGTACCTGCAGCGGGGGAGGGTGCAGGGGCAGGGAGGGAGAGCCTGATGACAGAGTTCCGAGCCAGAGGCCGGGCCATGCCCATCCCCACCCTGTGCCAGGAACCCTTGCCCCAGTGCCCCCAGGACCAGGTGTCGGGAAAGCTGTGAGAGGTCATAGGAGGTGGCAGGCCCCTGGGCTAGGTCACTGTCCCCGTCTGCAGGGAGGTCCAAGATGGAGCTTCCGACACTCCAAGCTCTGGCAGAGGCCCTTGCCCAGTCCTCAGGACTCCTGCCCAGGGAGGTGCACCTCGTATTCATTCAGCAGCACTCTCTGAGCTGAGGCCACAGCAACGTGAGTGCCCCACTGACCAGAGAGCGAGTGGGGAGGCGGGGCTGCCATCTCGGGGCCCAGGTGGTCCTCAGAGCAGGGCGCAAGGGCAAGGGGCACAGGCATGCCTGGTCTGTCCTGGAGGGGCACAGGCACACCTGGTCTGTCCTGGAGGAGGGGGCACAGGCACGCCTAGTCTGTCCTGGAGGAGGGGGCACAGGCACCCCTGGTCTGTCCTGGAGGGGGCACAGGTACCCCTGGTCTCTGTCCAGATGGGCGGAGCGTAGGCTGGCCTTGAACAGGCCGAGTGCTGCCCAGGCCCCCACCCCCACCAGCTCATCTGTTTATGGGTACATGGGGGGCAGAGTGGGCAGTGCCAGCTGCCGTGGTAGAGGGCAAAGAGCAGGAAGTGGCCAGTCCAAGGCCAGTCCTGATGCCATTGCTGGCCTTCCGAGAGATGCAGCTCAGCGCTGGTGAGGAGCCAGGCTGCCCACGCTCACGTCCCAGCTCTGCCGCCCACACTGAGACCTGGACCTCTCTGTGCCTCCGCAGGATGAGGGCGAAACTTGCTGTGCTTTGAATGTGTCCCCAAACTTCACGTGTGGAAAATTGGTGACAATTGTGATGGCATTAAGAGGGTGGGTGAGGGACCAGCAGATAGCCTAGTTGTTACGTCACTGGACTCCCATGTAGTTGACCACAGTTCAAGTCCCAGACCCAGCTGCTTAAAATTCACGCCAGGTGCGTGTGTGTGCATACCCAAGATCCCGAGAAGAGAACGGAGAAGGGATTATGCCATGGCCATCGCCCCTGGGAGGTGATTTCTTGTTTCCTGTCTGTCTCTTTCTGTCTCTCTAGCAAGTGCACACACCCTATAGCAAAAATGTCTCTTAAAAAAAAAAAAAGGACGGGTGAGCCCTGTGGCCTGCTGATTAAGGAAGCCAGATCCTATATGGAGACCATGGTTCGAATCCCAGCCCTGGCATCATGAAGAGCATGTTGGGCGTGAGCATGTGACCCTGATTCCAACCGGATAGAGAAACGGGAAGGGCTCACAGCATGAACACACTCCACTGTTGGGCGTTCTCTCTTTCAGGCCAGCATGCGTCCCCTCTGGCAATCTTATTATTTTTTTTTAACTTTACTTATTCATTTATTTATTTTAATTTGACCAGAAAGGGATAGTGAGAGAGAGTATGAGAAAGCAAGCTTCCAGGTCTGGGACTCGAACTGCAGTTCACCATGTGGGAGTCCAGTGCCTTTAACCATTACGCCGCCTGCCAGCCCTGCCCTCTGACAATTAAAAAAAGAGGATGGACACTTAATCCAGCTAAGAGATTAGGAGGTGGGCATCTGTGAGATGAGGGTGAGACGGGGTCGTTGGGGGCCCGTGATGGCACTCAGGGGGACTTACAGAAGAGGGCCGAGGCCAGGGCTGCCGCCATGCTTGCACTCTCACCACGTCATGCCCTGCACCATCGGGACGCTGCAGAGCAGGCCCACCAGCAAGAAGGCCCTCACCAGATGCAGCCTTCAACCTTGCACCTCCAGACTCGAGCCACATAAACCTCTATTCTTCATAATCACCCAATCTTCTGGCAATAGAAAATGTGCTAAGATATTAGGTCATTAGGAAAGTCACGACATTCCCGAAGACCCAATAGCACGCAGCTCTGAGCTCTAGGCACGGCCTTGTGAGTGGCCGGCCAAATGCCGGATCTGCATTAACGAAAGCGTGGGGTCTGGGAGGAAGAAGGTCGTGCACCTGTCTGGGCAGGGCAGATGCAGTCAGCGCTCAGGTTCAAGTGCAGGTGGAGAAGTCCACACCCCGGACAGGAAGGGGCTGAGGCATGCTGTCCAGTGGACAGGACAGGACCCCACTTAGTCCCCATTACTGCAGAGTGTCCAGAGCAGTAAGTGCCACCCACCTCCTGCACCAGAGCCAGAATCTGGGAGTTTCCCGGGATACCTTTGCCCCAAGCTTACAACCAGAGTACCCGGTTCCCCAGGACAACACTCCTAAGTGCGGATTCAGATCCGCTCGCTGCTTTTCCACCAGCGGTCCATCCTGCCCATGCTCCTCGGAATCATCGGTAAACGGGGCCGCAGTCCCCGCCCTGGTGGACCTTACGTCCTCAGGAGGGGCAGCCAGCCAGCAGCGCCATAACAACACAGAGGTCAGGGCACGGCACGTGCCAAGGAGGGGAGGAGCCTAGGAGAGGAGGGCAGCCAGGGACGGTGACATTCTTGAGCCCGGCGTGTTCTCTCAGCCACCGCAGCCGAAGTTGCCCTTCATGCTCAGTGGACATGCCCGAACTCTATCCCTCTCCACAGCAGAAATGGAAACCTCGCCACCTCCCCATCTCAGCTGCTTGGGCGGGTCTAAGCATCTCCCCTCTTGGCTGCAAGCTCCTGGAGGAAAGGTCAGACCGGGTGTGTCCACTCCCCCCAGCTAGGACAGGGTGGGCACCTGGGGAGGCTGGGCAGACGAGGGCCTGAAAAACGGGTCAGTGAAATGGATGGGGGTGGGGAAGGGGTGAACAAACGGATGGACAGGCATGGGTGAGTGGATGGATGAGCGGACAGCTAGATGGAAGGATGGCTTGGAGGTGGTTTAAGAGAGGTAGAGAAGGAGGGATAAAGGAATGGACAGATGAGGGACCGGCAGATGGCATAATGGTTGCATAATGGACTCCCACATGGCCAACTGCAGTTCAAATCCCAGACCCGGTGACTTGAAACACATGCTGGGTGCATTTGCGTGCATGCTCAAGACCCCAAGAGGGAAATGGAGGGATGGACAGATGAGTAGAGAGACAGATGAATGGACGGATGGATGGATGGATGGAGAGATGGATAGCCTGGCAGGGCCCATGAGCACAGAGAGAGGCAGACTTGCAGGCCCTGGGACCAGTCAACACCCTGAGTGCCACAATGTCCCGGGCCCCAAAGATCAAGGGGATGCCTTCCGGGGGTGCCATCTGTCCACCTGTCTGCTGCGGTGCTCAGGAAGGGGCTGCCCTCCTGGCTCCGTGGCTGGAGAATACCCTGGCATCAGCTGACACACGCGTGGCTGCTGCTCCGGGAGGCATGGCCGGCGTCAGAGCTCTGTAAGAAGGCCACCTGCGTTTCAGAGATGGGAGCACGCCCGGTGCTGAGGCAGTGGGGTGTCGGGAGCTGTAGGACAGCTCACAGGAACAGAAGACGGGGGACCAGCAGGGGGCATAATGGTTATGTTGCTGGACTCCGATGTAGTCAACTAGGGTTCGAGTCTTGGACCCAGCGGCTTGAAACTCTTGCCTGCCACGTGTGCATGCGTGCCTAAGATCCCAAGAAGGGAATGGAGGGGAGGGATTGTGGCATGGCCATCCTCCCTGGGGGATGATTTCTCGCTTTTTGTCTCTGTCTCTCCAGTGAGTGCCCACGCCCTATAGCAAAAAACTCTCTTTATATGAAAAAAAGGAAGAAAGGGTGGAGAGGCAGTGGGCACATGGAGTGAAAGGACAGTAACTATTGGGTCTTTGGAAAAGTCGTGACATATTTTTCTGTTTCTCTAGGAGAAAAATACATCATGAGTTTTCTGACAGCCCAGTAGTAAGGAAGCCCTCAGCGGGAGCTAACTGTGCCCTGCGGTGCCTGGCCCCAGAGAGCTGGGTCCCAATGGCCTCCCTCACCTCTCCCCCACCTCCTGCCTGCCGTAGCTTGACCTGATCCAAGTGGCGCAGAAGCCAGACCAGACGGGCAGGGGCCTTGAGGAGGAGCCCAGAGTGGGTCGAGGTGGAACCAGCTCTGCCTCCCCGTCGGCTGTGTGACTCCCAGCGAGGGGCATGACCTCTCCAATGGGGGCCACCGTGGACCCGGTCACTGTTCCAGGCTCATGCCTCCTCCATCAGCACTAGCCCACCTTGCAAGACCCATGGGAGGAGGAACTGTCCCCTAGGGAGCGGCAGACACCGCCTAAAGGGCCCAAGCCTGGGACCCAGCCAAGGGCCTGAGGAAGGGAGACCTGGAGGGTTCTGCCAGAGGCACATGGAGGCACCAGGAAATCCCAGGCATTTCCTTTCCTTTTTCTTTTTGAGAGGTTTTTTTTTTTTTTTTTTTTGCTATAGGGCGCGTGCACTCACCAGAGAGACAGAAAGCAAGAAATCACCCCCCGGGGGGATGGCCACGCCGCAATCCCTTCTCCTCCATTCTCCTCTCAGGATCTTGGGCACGCCCGCACACACCCCCGGCATTAGTTTAAGCCACCAGGTCCGGGACTCGAACCACAGTCGACTACATGGGAGTCCAGCGACATAGCCATTATACAAACTGCTGGTCCCAGGATCAGGCACTTTCAAAGATACATTGTTCCTTTAATAAAAGAGGAACCAGCCCACAAGTTGATAAGTAAGACTCCAGTCTGGACCAGACTGCCGACCAGCATCGAGGCCCGAGTGCAGGCCAGTGAGATGTGGAGACACCAGCTTTCCTTAGCAAGCCAGACTGCCTGGCTTGGCTTCCCTCAGTGCTTCCAGCTGCGTGACCCAGATACGGATGGATCCATAGCCTTCCTGGGCCTCAGTTTCCTCCTCTGTGAAATGGAAATCCTGTTAGCTAACATGTGGCTGGGCCTGGCCGGCAGGCGGCGCTCTATGAAGACCGCTGTGATTAGATTATCCGCCAGCCGGCCAGTCTTTTCCTTTTTCTT